CGACATAAAATTGACTAAAAAAATGTTGAAAATTATAGAAAGAGTTTAGCAAAAGTTTAGCCACCAGGCAGAAAAAAAGACCTCCTCGTAGTTATTGCTAGGCGCTTTCACTCACCATATACAGGAGCTCCACCATTTTGAGCTACCATGCTTTCTCTTTATTATTTTTAGATCGTTTAACCCCAGCCTAATACTGGTAAAAACAATGACAACTATCCGCAGCACTAAAGACGTCTGATTCTCAAATGTCGGGTCCTCAAAAGTCATATCTTCAATTGTCGGATAGCCATTTTAAAGCATACCGTATTTCCTGAAATAGTACTCCCCCCTGAATTAGCACTCCCCCCTTAAATAGTACTCCCCTTTAGAGGAGGGTTGAAAAATAGTACTCCCCCCTGAATTAGTACTCCCCCTAAAATAGCACTCCCCCCTAAAAATTTTTCTCCTATATTTGAAAAAATAAAAAGAGACTCATTGAATTATTTTATTTATTCTAAGTAGCGTTGTCGGTTTCACTTGATTCTCCGATAAACAAAACCGGAAAGCCTTCGGTTAACCGAAAACGAACTGAAATTTTAACCTAAAATTTTTCGGAGATTAAAGAAATACAATCCGGTTAATTGGTGGGGTAAAAGTGGATTTTGGGGGATATAAAGGGATTGATATCTGATGATAAAATGGGTTCTGGATTGATCAAGTAGGATTTAAAAGATATCATTGGATTAAGGTTTGATGAAGGGATTTGAGGGGAATACACACAAGATTAGTTAACCCTATGAGATTAGTTAATAGAGGGATACACACGAGACTAGTTAACCCCCTGATAAATTCCTAGACAGAGATATTTCCACTATATCCCAAAAAATTAATTGATAATCATTTTATTAATATCATTTTATTATTATTGATAATCATTTTATTATCATTTTAATATCAACTTTATCCCCTCAAATCTCACGATATCGCTTTTAATCAAAAATTACCTGGCATCCCTACTAATCCGCTAAAACGTCAATATCCTTCTCAATCCTGATAATTTTTTCGACATCCAACTTAATCTATCGATATCTCTTAATCGCTTAAAATCCCATTATACCCCTGGATATCACTCCAAATCCACTAATATCCTTTTTGCTTTCCCTCAATAACCCTATTTTAAGTCACTTGTGTTTAAAAGTCTCGCAAGTTGCTCAATTTTATACTAATTTGGAATCCACATTTCTTGAAAATCCAAATTTGGATCCGGCATTTTTCAAATTACGAACTCTAATTGATTTAAACATTTAAAATTTTGAGACAAATTTTCCTAAGATAAATCATGGAGGTAGGTTGAAAAATAATACTCCCCCCTGAATTAGTACTCCCCCCTTAAATAGTACTCCCCTTTGGAGGAGGGTTGAAAAATAGTACTCCCGGGAGTACTATTTTAGGAAATACGGTATTTTGATTTTTTGGGGAAATTGCACAAAATCAAACCAAAAAGTGAAAATTCATTAAAAATTAAGGAAAAAATTTGCAAAAATTAAAACTTTGTAAAAAAATTTTTTTGTTTATTGGGCGCGACCCAAAAATGACCCACGCCCATAACGTCTCACCTTAAAATGTCCCGCCCCAAAATGTCACTTCGTCAGAACACCTCATCTCAAAATGTCCAACAGAGTTAAGATGCTCAATATGTTGAACAATACATGTTAGATGGAGTAATCTTAATAAAAATAGGTGTTTGATATTTTTAACTAAAGAATTTTAAATTTATAGGTAAAAATTGTATTTTTCTTGCATATTTTAGTGCATATTTTGCATTTTTTAATGTATAAAGATCCGGGCTCGGCCTAACTACAGTTCCCGTACCAGCTCAAAATTTGACAATTTATATGTCCTTCACCAAGCTGAGTCGAATGGCACCAAAATTAGTCACACAGTTGAGTCAGCTTGACGAGCTCTTTCGAATGACATATAAATCATCCATTTATGAGCTTAGTACGGAAACTGTAGCTTAGCCCTTGGCTCTACTAATCGCTGACCCATTAAAACCTCAACCAGGGCTGCACGCAATTGCGGATTGCGAGTTGCGGATTGCGTAAATTGCGCGGGTTTTTGCAATTGCGAGTTGCGGATTGCGTAAATTGCGCGGGTTTTTGCAATTGCGAGTTGCGGATTGCGTAAATTGCGCGGGTTTTTGCAATTGCGAGTTGCGGATTGCGTAAATTGCGCGGGTTTTTGCAATTGCGAGTTGCGGATTGCGTAAATTGCGCGGGTTTTTGCAATTGCGAGTTGCGGATTGCGTAAATTGCGCGGGTTTTTGCAATTGCGAGTTGCGGATTGCGTAAATTGCGCGGGTTTTTGCAATTGCGAGTTGCGGATTGCGCTTGCGGATTTTTAAAATTAAAATTGCGAGTTGCGGATTGCGCTTGCGGATTTTTAAAATTAAAATTGCGAGTTGCGGATTGCGAGTTGCGGAATTTTTTTTTCAATTGCGTGCAGCCCTGACCTCAACCCATTAAAAATGCCTAATTTTTCCTTTGGACGGTTTTGGTAAACGGTGTTTTGTCGGTCGGTGTTCTGTCTATACGGTTTTTGGCCCTCACCCAACTAAACTCTCCAGTTTTATCGATTTCAACATACTTATGTGCAGAATAAACAAAAATTAGGTCATTATTGTTGTCTCAAATAATTTGCCACAAAAATTTCAAAATTCTACTAAATTTTATTTTAATTAAAAATTATCCCCAAAATTCAAAAAATTATTTTCTTTGTTTTATAATTATGGATTAATAAAAACAACATAAAATAATGAAAATGTTAAAAAATCGAAGCAAAATTCCTCTTGAGTTGATTAATGATATATTTAAATCAACTAGTGGACTATTTTTTTACAAATTACAAACAAGGTACATAATTTACAGTGGCGACAATATATTAGAAACACTTGCAAAGGCTTTTAAAATATTGGATAACTTGGTGCAAATGGAGATTGGGATCAGGGGCACGTAGTGCGTTTATGGTTATTTGGCGAAAAAACAAAAAAACATGAGAAAATACACCTGATCAGGGGCAAAAAAGGAAGAAAGCGGGGATTTAGTAGTAAACGGTCGAATTATATACCATTCTATTCGTCTTGGCGGGTTAAGTCGAACAGTACCAATCTATAAGTGCGGAAATGCGTGTGGACCGATTTTATATTTTAAAAATGCAGGAAGTATAGGTTTTTTGACCTCCAAAATTCTGAAAATTTTCGTTTGCTCAGCCTGTCACTAGTAAAACGGACCAACTCAGAGTGAAATCATTCTAGGTAAAGCTCCCCGAGCCTTCGGGTTCGGGTTAAATTATTTATTTATGGAAAGGATAGGATAAAACACATTTTATTTATATTAAGCATCGAATCCATCTTTAATAAATATTTTAGTTAATTATAAAAGCCAGCGTTAGTATCAATATAATTGAATCATACTAGCCAGGCTAATCTCTGATCTCCGTCTGTTCAAGTCAATCCAGCTTTACATACATTGGACATTTCTACTTCGGATAAACTATTATTCTAATAAAGAGGATAAATAGCTTCTTCAACTTTTAAAATTCCTAAATTTTTTGCCTTCGCCCCCTCAGTCCCATTAGAACCACAGTCTCTAATAGTATAACTAATTAAATTAAAGGGTTGAAAATAGAACCATAGTGGTTATATTAGAATAAATACGGTATATTATTATTTTAGTCCAACAATTTGTTCTTCATGTTTAAATAAAAAAGGGGTCGAAAACAAAAATGCAACAAAAGCAGAAAGTCAATTTAAAGAATATTGGTACATTTGTGCTAAAAATGTATTAACTTCTTCTACTATTGCCTATTTCTTTGTTGGAGAAATTTTCAAAAAAATAAAGGTAAAGAATTTTTTAAAAATTTGGAAAATGAATAAATTTTTGAAAATACCTACATATTTATTCAAAATTAAATTATAAAGTATATTTACCGTAAATGCTGAAAGAATGTCCCTCTCTCAAATAATTACCCCCTCTCGTTTAATTACCCCTTCCAGCGAGAGGTTGAAACAATAATTACCATGGGTAATTATTTTAGCAATAAGGTAATTTGTTCGGTAATTGCTATCTGTCTTGTATAAGTATGTCAGATCTTGGGAGATGTTCAGATATGCGGATAGGATTTTTTATTAACGTTGTAAAGATTATGCTGTGACTGAGAATGTTTGGGAATAATATACAGGAATCCAATGATATTGTAGTGGATAACCTTAGAAAGGCCAATACGGAGGCCAAGATAAACTGAATAACTTTTTTGTTTTACCAAAATTTGGATGATATTATGTGGATAGTATTGCCTTAGTTTTACCAATTCCGATTCGGCACGAATTTTTATAAAAGTGGAAGAACAAACCTTCAACCCTAGTATGAATATAATAGTAACAAAAATTATTAGAACTTTTCAATAACTTTTCGAAGTAACTTGACAAAACCTTAAGTAATATTTTTGATATTCGGATAATTCCACATTTATATAACCATTATGAGTGAACTTTTTAATATTTTACACCCCTAGTTTAAATATAATATTATCTGGAACAGTTTTAGACCTACATAAACTACATTGACCTGTTAAATTTTTTACAAATACTTTGATTTTTTAGCTTTATTTTTTGAAAAATAAGGTTAATATTTTTATGCCATTTCCCAAATATTTAACCAAAATTACTCCTCTCTAACCGATTGAGTTGCCTAAAGACAAAGAGGAGGAGAAATATATATAAAGAAAAAATTTTTCTATTGATATTACATTCAAAAATTTAAATGTACATACTACTCGTTTAATGTTTTTTCGATCCCTACTCTAGATAAAAAATAACCAAATAAAACGCCTATTTCAAGCTGAAACCTAAAAAATTATTTGGGTTATTTTAAAAATTTTGATTTCACTCAAATAATTTTTATATTTTTCCAAATTCTATTATTTTAAGATTAAAATTAAAAAAAATATTTTTCATTAAAAGATAATGGCTGAAAAACAAGTTCAAATGGAGGTATAAAATATAATTATTTCGAAATTTAATGAAACCTATCAGAGATGGGAAAAACCTATCAGAGATTCCGATTTCACACTTCCGGCATTTTTCCCTCCGATTTCCGAAAAAAATTTTGATTTCCGATTTCTGACTTTTGAGCCAGTTCCGATTTCCGTCCCTTCCGATTTCCGACACCTCTGACTTCCGACCCACCTCTGTTACCTATGAACAAATAAATTTTTTATTTCTAAATCATCTTCTTAAAATTTCTAATTATTTTTTATCTTCAGGCTGACGAGCAAAAAAAAATATTCAATAAATTACAAAACGATCTTGATGATCAATTTAGTACTTTAACAAAGGAGGAAAAAGACAAAGTTATTAATTATTTGCAAGCAGTGAAAAATTCGTTAACGAAACAAAGTCCGGTTGCTCCGGTTGGTGACGTAGAAAAGCTACGTTCTTTCCGTTCTTTGGCACGTCGAGGAACTTCTCGTAATTTTCTATTTCCTTTTATTTAATTTTAATATATTTAGCCAATTCTTGGTTCGTACCCCCCCCCTTTCTCTTTTTTTTTCCTCAAAGTATTAAAAAATGGTCAGTCAGTCTTAGGATGTAGAACTCGTCGAGCTGTGTCGAATGACACCAAGATCAACCCCCTGATTAAATTTGGACCGAGATACAGACCCCCGAAAATTGAAAAATAAAAGGGTGGGCTAAACTCATTTTTTGGGCTAAAAATTTGATAAATAAATAATAGCTCATTCGAAAGAGCTTGTCGAGCTGATTCGAATGACATCAAAATCAACGTAATAGAACAAGATTTATAAAGTTATGACATAAAGTAATCCTATCGCAGTCGGTGAGACGCTGCGCAAAAGCCTGCGATTTGCGCCGGTTTTTTGAAAGTATCTCGGTCCAAAGTTAAGACTTGATTTTGATATCATTCGACACAGCTCGACGAGTTCTATAACCTAAGACTACTGACCATTTTTAATACATTGAGCAAGGAAAAAAGGGGGTAAGAACTCAAGAATTACCCTCAAATTAGATCCGGCTCCGTTTTACAAATCGTTTCCGGGCAAACCGGAACTCTTTTACACTTCTAAGGACCTGTTTTTTTAAATATGGGTTGGACATGAAATATTCCCCATGGTATGGGTTGGAGGTTGGACTTGGGTTAGACTTGACAACTCTACTTAAAATACAAATTTTTTAAACTTGCTAGCGAATTTTTTTTAAGTTCCGGGCCGGAACTAAGAAAAGTTCCTGTTCTGGGAAACGGAACTCAAATTGGAGCCGGTTCCGGTCAAAATTTCTGCTCCGGTTAAACACCAATTTATGTAAATTAAGGTAAAATTGGCAAGACCTATTTATGCCCTATATGTAATCACCCTGTTCCTGAACAAAACAGACAAGTACACGAAGCTCTTTGTCCCAGAACTACAGCGAAAAAGAAGGCAGAAAAGATGAAAAATCTTGAAATTAATCTTTTTATTGTTCGGAAGAGGAAAGGAATTGTAATAGATTCTGCTGATGATGAATGTAAGAAGAAAATTTCAGTTAAAGAGAAGAAGGATAGAGATTTGACTGATAAGCCTGGACCTTCTGGACTTTCTTAATTTATTAAAATTATTTTTGAATTAAAATGGGCAATAATTTTTAATTTATTTTTATAAAATTTATTTCTGCTTTAGACCTAAAAATTGGAAAACTAATTCCAAAAAAACAAAAAAATTTTCACCTTTCACTCTGAAAATGGATATGTATTCAAGTTGTCACACAACATCCTTTGACCAGTGATTAGATTTTTAAAATTGCTCAATTTTTAAAATTGCTCGTACCTTCGTACAGGCCTTTTTTACCTTGTCCTCGTACATTCCTAATTTTTTGTCTCGCACATGTACAAGCCGTATTTTTGGCCTCGTACCTCTACTTGAGTAATAGGCAAAAAATTAAAAATTTTGTGATATTTTAATGTCAAGGACATGTGTATAGTTCTGAATATTTCCTCAAATATTTCTTCTCTTAATCTCTCGATATCCATCTTAACATCAAATCTCTTTCTTGCGGCGCAGCTGAAAATTTTAGAAAATTCGTGACTAATTAAGATTTTCAAGTCTTTTCAAGTTCAAAATATTTACAAATTTAAAAGCAAGATTAAAGTTTATAAACATTTTTAAAAAGACTCCCCCGTATGTTTTTTCGATTTTCGGGTGCCTATATCTCGGTCCACAGAGTTAAAAGACACCAAAATCACCGTGATTGAATAAGTTTGGACAAAATTACCTTACCTCCGGTTTACTATACTACATCTGAAAAATTAACTTTTTCTCCCCCATTCGAGGAGGAAAGGAAAAATTGGATGCCGACATTATTTTCAGATAGAGCCGAAAAATTATTTAAGCATAACCTTACATCCCTGGATTCGAAAACATCCCTAAATTACGCTCCTGATACCCTCCTGATCCCTCCATTGAGACTGAACTTATGTATAATATACAAAAAATAATGACCAGTGCAGACTGAGATTAACTGCTTTCCTACAGTATATTGGGGATGGCCCTTTTAATGGCGAAAATTGATGAATTTTGGAAGGCCTAGAAGCCAATTTTCTTCTTCTTCAAGCGCAAAAAAAAATAAATTGCAAAAATCGCCAAAGCTAAATCAAAAATCGAAATTTCGAAACTGCCCTTTTCTGTACAAAGTCACTCAGTTCCAAGAATGGTTAAAGGCCATTCTTGAAAAAACTGCCCTTGACATAGAAAAATAATAAAATCTTTAGAAATTTAGTATTAATATATTCCATATTTTGGGTCAATCCATATTTTAGGTCATACGATATTTTTGGTGTAATATTTAGGGTGTCGATATTTTGGGGTGATCCCATTTCGACATCATCTGTTATAACTGGGATGTCCATCATTGGTTATTTACTTTTCTGCTTCATTTCATACTTTTTATTCCCTTTTTTAATCATCTCCATGGTTAAGCCTTAAAGATAAAATTCCTTGAAAATAAGTACCATATCAAACCTCCCACCAAAATTTGGAAGAACTAGTGCATCTACTGTATTGATGATCCAAGACACAAAACAAGAGGATCATTGGTAACGTTTTGTTTATCGACGTAAGTGTAGGTGAATGGTTGAAATCAAAATACAAACATTTATTAACTTTAAAGTTTTGTATTCTTTAATAAGAAAAAAGCGATATTTTATTGTAGTATCTATTTTGGGTTACAGGAACCACGGAAACGTAAATTGCAAAGGTCCACGAAAGCATTGGTCTGGTTTAAGGGACATGTGGACACGTCCTTAGAAAAAACAGAAAAAAGACTTGTCTAAAAAGGGCAAACAAACAAAAAATAGAGATAATTTGATCTTTGCTGGTTTATTCTCCTCATTACTGGTTTAATCACTTTATTTCATCGCAAAATTTTATTTTTTAAGAAATATATATTTTTACTTATGTATTATTTACATAAATTTAATTTTAGAATAAAATTTATAATTTTTGGTAATTAATAATAAATAAAAAAATATTTTAAATAAATTTTTAAACTTAGGATGAAAATTATTAGTATTTTAATTATTATTATTTTCAATGTGATTTGTTGGAGTTTAATTAATTCTGTTAAAAATAAAGAGAAAAACGAGTTAGATAGAGTTGGGGAAACATCAAATGATTTAACTAATAATAAGATGATGTCTAATGATGAGGCAGATTCATCGGTGTATCCTCAAATTCAACCGTTAAAACTAAAATCTGAAATTGTGACGAAGGGCATAACTATAGGTAGAGATCGGACAAACGGAAAAATCAAATATCAACTATTTGATATTTGAAAGTATTTGAAAAAATTTGATTTTTTTCAAAAAGTGGTCAAACAAATATTTGATCAAATTATTTGATATTTGAAAATATTTGAAAAAAATTTGATCGAAAATGTCAAATATTTGATCAAATATCAAATTTTTTTCAAAATTTTGGAATTACCTATAAATTCTATTATTAAGTGAATAATTAACCTAATAATAACTAAATAACATTTAAAAATCAATGTCTGTAATGAATCAATAGATTAGGGAGATAACTTTGGATTTTCAGGGATTAAGGGGATTTGAGATAACATGAGATTTAGGGATTAAGTATTATCAAATCGTGGGGTTTAAAGTATATTGGTGATTAAGGTGAGAGTTTAATTCCTGGATATCACTATTCTCAGATATTATCCTCTTAATCCATATATATCCCGCTTAATCCCCCACCCGATATCACTCCAAATCCACAGATATTACCCCGCAAATTACCCTATATGCTCTGATCTTGATATCCTTTCAAATCACCCTATATCACTTTAATCCACCGATATCCATCCAAATCCTCATATATCCCTTCTAATTCCCATATATCTTTTTCAATCCCCTGATATCCGTCCTAATCCTAAAAAATTTCTCAAAATCACTCGACAACCTCCATGTACCTATATTTGTATTGCCTGAGTACTGGGAAAAAATTTCTAATTTTTAAAACTCTATAGGGAAGGACCTTTAGCGCCGCAGGCAAAATTTGTAAAAAATATGGTGCTAAATCAATAATTTTTCACCATTTTCTAATCAATATTCAGAATTTTTGGGAAAATCAAATAATTTTCAAATTATTTGATATTTGAAAATATTTGAAAAAATTTGATTTTTTCCAAATGTCGTCAATCAAATATTTGATCAAATTATTTGATATTTGAAAGTATTTGAAAAAATTTGATTTTCTTCAAAACTCATCAAACAAATATTTGATCAAATAAAATCAAATAAAATTTGATCAAATATTTGATTTTCCAATGTCAAATATTTGTTTGGTCCAATCTCTAACTATAGGTAACGAAGAAAAAAGGTTAAGAAAAATGAGTATATGAAAAGCTACTACCAAAAAAATAAATAAAAAATGCAAGAATATGATCGAGAATACTACCAAAAAAATAAGGATAAAAGGCGAGAACATGATCGAGAATACTATCAAAATAATAAGGAGAAGAAGCTAGAATATGGTAGAAAATACTACCAAAACAATAAGGAAAGGGTTAAAGAAAGAAATCAAGAATATAATCGAAAATACCGAGAAAAAATGGAAAATAAACAGGCAAGTTTACAAAGTGTTTATCCAAAAGAAAGAAATGTTCATCCTGATAATGAAGAAAATTCATTTGTTAATACACAGAATGACGCTTTTGGGAATAAGGGTAAATTGCCAATCTTTTATGAAGAGGACATTCAGTATGAAGAAAATCTTTCTAATCAAGCGGATGAAGAATTTAACAAAGACAAAACAGAAATTTCTGTGGATGAGCAAAATCAAACGTTGGTAGAAGAGCCAAATAAGATTCGTGAAAATTACATGAATCAGATAGATTTAAATGAGGAGAATTATCCGTTTGATCTGAACGAGAAACCTGAGGGTATAGATGAGAACGTTTGTTAAAAAGAAATAAATTTGAAGAATGAAATGATGTTAAAATTAAAGAATTGTAAAACTTTAGACAACTCTGTATAAAATTTAGAGCATTCCTGTTGAGAAATAAAATTTTTTATGCCCTAAGATACGGTGTGTCTAATTTGCCAAGCAGTTGTCGAACATCGGCTTGGAATAAGTAGGCGACGGCCGACATTTCACTCATTTGTTTAAGACAGTTGTAGTGTGCGTGACTTAAATACATTTTAAATGCTCCATCATGTTTTAGCTGATCTATCCGAACCAATGATTAACGAATCAAGCTAAGTGCTCTGCTTTAGAGTTGGACAAAACGATACTGGTATCAGCCAACCCGAGACCGAGATTGACCGATACTCAAGAACCCGATACCGAGACCGATACCATCAATTTGAGCCGAGACCGATACCGAGAAACGATACTGACCGAGACTAACAGAAAATTTTATTTTGCGTCAAAAAATAGTGTAAAAATAATTTATTCATTATTTTTATCATCCAAATCATCAGATAAATACTCTTCATCATCTGGATCCGATTTAATTGATGGTTAACATCCTTTTTTATAAAAAAAATACAATAGTTTTAGAGCCGCAGGCGAAAATTTTAGCATTTTTAGGTAAAAAGCCGGATTTTTTTGCGAAAATTTTTCCATTTTTGTCTCTAAACAAAAAATATTGCATTGTTTCTTACGGTTATTACTAAATATTTAAAAATAAAATAACCATTTAAAATTAAAATTTAACTTTTATAATTTATTTTCATACAGAAAATTTTTGAATTGTTTCGGGGCGGGGAATGGGTCGTGGAAAATATGAAAAAATCGTTCGGGGAAAGGGGTCGGGGCGCAACTCTAGTCGAGCTATATAAAACGGCAACTCAGTCGTGCGAACTCAATCGTGAGGTGTTGGGTATCGGCTTAGTATAAAAGCCTTCCTATTATTCAGTCGAGGTCTTAGTCTTATTGTCGCAGTGTTATTCTTATTCTATTCTGTCTCCACCTATTCGGCGCTTAGCCATATTCCTATTGTTCGCCCTTATTGTATTTAGTATTGTAGATAAAGCACAGTTTGTTAGTTACTGTCTTATCTTGTGTTTATTCTTGTTAGTACGTAGACATACAAGTCACGTACATAACATGAGGGCTCAGTGAAATGCTCGGATTTGTAAGGCAAATAAAGAAGGATTCACTCTTTTCAGCGCCGCAGGCGAAAATTTTTTTAAATTCAGAAGGTCAGAGGTCAAAAATCCTCAGTTTTATTAAAAATACAAAAAATTGGGGTCTTTGAGTCAGTATCGTTTCTCGCCGAGAAATGGACCGAGAATATCGGTATCGGTTTCGAGAACGAGAATGAAAAAACCGAGACCGATATTGGAAAAAAGCCGAGAATCTCGGTATCGGTCTCGGTATCGGTCTCGTCTTGTCCAACTCTACTCTGCTTTCAGAAACATACTATTACAAAATCATCTACTAGGCACCCTTAACCAAATACACATGTCTGAAGTAAACCCCTCCCAGTGTTGCCCCTGTGTTTTGTGATAATAAAATTTCGAAATCATCCGTTATAACGGAAATTTCCATCATTGGTATAATTCAGAAAATAATGTATCAATGTGAGGTTTGCTGATGTTCCACGCATATACCCCCCAAATAGTCAGTCAACGACTGTATTATGATCTATTTGCAATTCTCGTTCACAAAAATGTATAGAAGACATTATCAATATTATCCATTAATACTTCACAATTTTCGACAAATCACATGTTACAAAGCTACGACAAAGTCCTTATTTCATCACTCCACTTAACGTATTAGTTAAGAGCCAGCCCTCTATAAAAAGACAAACAAGCAGACAGACAAACAATGGTCGATTATATAATAATAAGATTGATGATCAACTTGGCTCATTTAATCACTTAGGCAAGCAAAGTTCCGCAATGTAATAATGACCTTTCCATGAGAAAATAATATTTTATTAAGAAATATAAATATGTATAACTAATGTTTTCTTTAGATATAATTTAAATTCAATTAAAATTTATAATTTTTGTTTGAATAATAATACATTGAATAACATTTTAAATAAAATTTTTTATTTAGGATGAAGCCTATTAGCATTTTAATAATTCTAATCGCCAATGCGATATTTTGGAAGTTGATTGATTCTGGTAAAAATAATAAAGATAGAAACGAGTTGACTCGAGTTGGGGAAACATCAAAGAATTTAGCTGTCAATAAGATGGTTGATGAAGCGGCAGAATCATCGGCGAATCCATCTAAAATTGCAAAGGAGATTTCTATAGATAATGAAGAAAAAAAGTTTAAGAAAAATGAGTATATGAAAAGTTACTGGCAGAATAATAAGGAAAAAAGACGAGAACATAATCGAAAATACTACCAAAATAACAAAGAAAAGATTCTAGAAAGTATCCGAAAATACTGCCAGAAAAATAAAGAGAAGAAGCGGGAAAAGAACCGAAAATACCGTGAAAAAAGGAAAAATAAACAAGCAAGTTTACAAAATGTTCATTCTAATAATGGAGAAACTTCTTTTTCTAATAAACAGAATGATGATTTTGGAAATAAAGGTAAATTGCCAATCGTTTACGAGGATAGCGTTCAGTCTGAAGAAGGAAATCTTATCAATCGAGAAGAGGAGGAAACAGCAATTTATGTGGATGAGCAAAATCAAAATGTGGTAAAAGAGCCAAATACAATGCGTGAAAATTACATGAATAAGATAGATTTAAATGAAAAATATTATCCTTTTGATCTGAACGAGAAACCTGTAAACGAAGATATGGACGATATTTAAATATATTTTGAAATAAAAGTTGCTAAAATTTTCAAAGACCCGATTAAAGTATTTTATAATTCTGAACAATTTTGTAGTAAACAGTAGAAAATTTCAAGCATTGATTCGCAGAAATGCAATTTTCTATTAAATCCAAAGGAAGAGATACTCTCTCTTTATGTTTAAGAGAATTATAAGGAATAAAAATAAAAATTTTAATTAAAAATTTTAAAAATAAAATTGTATTGAATAAAATTTTGTCAAAATAGTTTTAATATTTAATAATATCGTGTTACTATTTGCGCCACGTCTTGTTTAAAATAAAATAAAAATTATGAGTCATTATTTAAACCCTAGAAATGAGATATTCTATCACTAAAATTAGGGTTGCCAAAATGGACCGACTCGGACCGAAAGATCGAGTCATGCCTCGATGTTTGGCCCGAAAAAGACTCGTATCGGCCCGACTCGATAAAGTAAGGCCCGAAAAAGACTCGTAACGGCCCGACTCGATAAAGTTAGGCCCGAAAGTGACTCGTACCGGCCCGACTCGATAAAAACAGGCCCGAAAAAATTGTCTCGGAAAAAGTCGGCCCGACTCGAACAAGACACGATAATATTTTTACCAGATTTGTGGACAAAAATGGGAGAAATCTGGCTCCTTGCCTTCCAAAATTCGGAAAATTTTCGCCTGCGGCGCTGAAAAAAGAAGAAATTTTCCGAATATCTCAAAATTTTTGCCTGCGGCGCTGAAATAAAGGATTTTTAGCTCCATACTTTGCTTCACATCTCGAACTTACTGGCTTTAATCGATAAGCTGGATTACTGGGATTTATAGGATATATTCCGCGGGATCCCATCATCATTTGAACTTTCGAAACTCAATCAGTTTTGAGAGTCCACAATTTTCCGCGGTCCGCAATTTTAACTTTAAAATACACAGTCGTAATCTTCAGTCCACAAGTCAAAAACACACAATCTTACGCAATCCGCGATCCAACATCCGGGATATAAGGTGTAATCTGGGAATATAAGGCGGTTTGAGTGATTAAGTCAAGGGCGTATCCAGGGGGTCCAAAATTCTCAAAGTTTTCGCCTGCGGCGCTAAAAATAGAAAAAATCTGGTTTCCTGACTTACCAGTAAGCCCTTATCTAAATCCGAATAGTTCAATCATGGTACACTGGGATTTTATTAAGGGATTTGGTGATTAACGCACAATATCACTTAAATCCTGCGTTATCCTTCAAATCTCCGATATCCATTCAAATCTCTTCAATCCTTTTAAATCCCATTACAATATAGCACCTTAATTATCTGATATGCGATCCTGATCCCCTTAATTATCTGATCTCCTTTAATAAAACCAAATCTAGCAATATCTCACACCAACCCTCCGATAATTTAAATCACCTTAATCCCTCAAATCCACTGATATCCATTTCAATTCTCTTCAGTCCTTCCTTTACCCTCCAGATCCATCGATATACCTTTTAATTCACAGATATCCCTCCAAATCCACTAATTATTTTTAAATAAATCTTTTAAAAAAAGACTCGAAAATGTCTCGATGCCCGACTCGATAAAGTCAGGCCCGAAAGTGACTCGTTCAGGCCCGACTCGATAAAGTTAGGCCCGAAAAAGACTCGTATCGGCCCGACTCGATAAAGTAAGGCCCGAAAAAGACTCTACCGGCCCGACTCGATAAAAACAAGCCCGAAAAAAAATGCCTCGACCGTCGGCCCGACTCGAAAACGGCAACCCTAACTAAAATCATTCATTTCTCGATAGATGCCAAATAGCCAAATTAGTGGTAAAACACGTTGTTTTCGTTGTTTTATGAAAAGCGACTCATTCATGTATTTCTAAAACTGTATATGTGGACGATATTTCTTAAAAGCGGGAATCTTACAGAAAATAAGAATGTATAAATATGAGGTTTGCTGATGTTCCACGCATATACACCAAAAAAAGTCAGTCAACGACTGTATTATGATCTATTTTCAATTCTCGTTCACAAAAATGTATAAATAAAAAAAAATAACCAATGATGGAAATCCATATTATAACGGATGATGTTGAAATTTTATTATCAAATAACACAAGGGCAACACGGAGGGTTTTACTCCAGACTTGTGTATTTAGTTAATAGTATCGAGTAAATTTTCTGTTATAGTATGTTTTTGAAAGCAGAGCACT